TCAACCTGCTATGTAGGTTCCTGACTGAACCATTTTATCCTCTGCATAATTAGGAAGAAGATTATTTATTTGATTTATTAAAGCCACATTCAAGTTCCTCTTGTCTCCAAGATAATCTATAGTTTAGAGTCCTGTCCTCTGGAGCAGTAGTATGCAAGCTTACTTCCTCTTCCACGTGAGAGCTCTTTGGACATCAGAAGAGGGCTCTTGCATCACTTCTCAGTAGGGGTGCACATATGGATTCAGAAATACTTGGAATTCACTGAATAATACCATATCCAGATAGTTCCGGATTTATCTGCATCTGAATTTCCAAATATCTGTAATAATATTGCTGGATGAAGAAGTGAAAGTAAAACCCATTTCTCAGACATCCTGGGTGATTCATGGAAAACTGAAATGTAAAGACATCCTGGAACCAAAGGTAGTGAGGGCAGAGATCTCAGTGTCTCCTCATTGGGCTTGCCACGGGTTTTCCAAGGGATTGGGGGACTGGGGTTAGAGCAAAACCTGTCAATGGTGTCTGCACAGATGAAATCTGGAAGCAGGCACAGACACCAGAAAGTATTTTTCCCTTTGGTTCTTTCCAGTTGAAAGGTGAGCATAGCTGCTTTTAAATCTCCTGAGCAGTTGGTGTTAGGATATGCTCTGGTGTAAGCCTGCCCTGCAGCACTTTTCTCTGTGTCCTTTTCTGAACCCTCAACTTACATTCACATTCTCTACATTTAATTGTATATTGTTGACCTTATTAAGATTTAAGATTAGTAGATTCATAGATTAATATGTTGTGAATCAACAGGGAAATATTATATTAGGTTTATTTATTTATTTATTGTATTTATATACCGCCCATCTAGAACGTGTCTACTCTGGGCGGTTTACATATAACGTAAAAATAAAATCCAGATTAATCACAGAGTCCAAGATGGGAAAGGAAGAAAAGAAGAAAAAGAAGAGAGAGAGAGAGAGAGAAAGAGAGAGAGAGAGAGAGAGAGAGAGAAGGAGAGATAGGCTAGGTTATGGCTGGAGGGAAGGTATGCCTGTATAGCCATGTCTTCAAGTTAGTCTTGAAGGCCCTCAGTGAGGGAGCCTGGTGTATCTCTACAGTTCTTCCAGAGGCGAGGTTTAAGCTCCTTTGGGGTCTATCAGGCAGGGGGATAAGATTTTGTTATATATAGAAAGATACATTATGTTAACAGATTTTGTGCCTGCCTATGCATGTGTAATTTTCATTGGAATGGTTTGTGTTCTGCCGCAGCAGAATCAGATACTGTTCTTTGGATAGAAAAGTGGGAGGGCACTTTCACAACAATGCCGGGGCAATGGGCAGAGGCCAGAAAAACAGGGATTGCCACTGCATCTCCTAATCCAGGATGTGGCTACTTGATGCTACTCCACTTTCTACCTGTACCCCATGATTTGGCACTGGAGACTTCCATTGGTGTGTGACTTCTCCCTCACCCCTTTAACAACAGGGTAAGCTTTCCAGGACACTGTCTTGACAAGCATGGCAAAGGCCTAAGCTCCAGAGATACCACCACATGGCAGAGGCAGAGGTAGAAGCAGAAGTGTGTATGCAGGAGCCATGTAAGACAAAAGAGACCGTTCCTTATTTTACTGGGCTCAGAAGAAGTCTGTTTGGGGAGATCTGACCAAGGTGGCCGTGAACTTCAGTAGTTCAAAATGTAGCAGCCAGATTGCGAACTGGAGCTGATCACTGGAAACACATAACCACCACCACCACCACCCCATTACAGCAGGAAGTGGCCCAGCCGGTTCTGGGGGGCGGTGGGATTGGGCCTAAGTGGCCCGGCCGGTTCTGGGGGGCGGTGGGATTGGGCCACCACAGCACCTTGTTTTCCCAGGGAAAGGAATACTGTACGAAGTGCCCAAGTCTAATCTTAGTACTATTTCACTACAGAATTGGGAATCCGTGGTACTTCAAATGTTGTTAGATTCCAGATCTCACCTGTCTCAACCAACATGACTAATGGCTAGGAATTTTGGAGTTGCAGCCTAGAAATATGGAGATCCATAACTTTTCCATCCTGGTTTACTTGAACTGGCAGTGGCTCTCCATAGTCACCAGGCCATTCTCCCCTTATTTCTTGAGATCTTTAAAACCAAAACATGCTGAAGACTGAACTGGTGGGTGGTGACCTTGCCTTCTGGCTCTACCACAGGGCTACGGCTTCTCCCTCCCCTCCCCCACTGCCCTTAATTTTTTCCTGAACTATCAGGAAGCTAAACAGCTGGTGTGATTTACCCTGGGGCAATGTAAAGTGACTTCTATCTAGAGATTTCTTTCCTGAAGTCAGAGATTATGTCAGCTGGGTTCATTAAGACACATCACAGAGACTTTTACTTAACAAAGTCATTACTGCTCTATATGGCTGCCAGAAATAGGCAGAAAGTCGGCTGATCAGATATTGTCAATATGCAATCTGTTCTGTTCTGGTGGTGAAATGTTTTCAATCATTCCATCTTGTGTTAAGTATAG